AAAAAAAAAAAAAAAAAAAAAATTGGGATTTTGACAGAGATTACATTGAATCTGTAGATCACTTTGTGTGTACTGACATCTTAATATTAAGTCTTTCAATTCATGAACATGGGATGTGTTTCTGTTTATATCTCCTTTAATTTCTCTCAGTAATGTTTTACAGTTTTTATTGTACAAGCCTTTTACTGCCTTAGTTAATTCCCAGATATTTGATTATTTTTGATGCTATTTTAAATGAAATGAAATTATTACTATGATTTTGAGACAAAGTCTTACTCTGTTGCCCAAGCTGGAGTGCAGTGGCACGATCTTGACTCACTGCAAACTCCAACTCCCAGGTTCAAGCGATTCTCCTGCCACAGTCTCCCCAGTAGCTGGGACTACAGGCATGTGCCACCATGCCCGGCTAATGTTTATATTTTTAGTAGAGATGGGGTTTCACTATGTTGCCCAGGCTGGTCTTGAACTCCTGATCTCGTGATCCACCCACCTCAGTCTCCCAAACTGCTGGGATTACAGGTATGAGCTACTATGACTGGCTGAAATTATTTTTATAATTTCCTTTCAGATTATTAATTGTTGGAATATAAAACTGCAACTCATTTTTGTGTTTTGACTTGTGGAGTCTTTAGGGTTTTTTACATATAAGATCTGTGAACAGAGATAATTTTACCTCTTCCTTTCCAATTTGAATCCTTTTTATTTTTTTCTTGCCTAATTGCTCTGGCTAGAACTTCCAGTACAATGCTGAATAGAAGCGGCAAAGTAGATGTTCTTGCCTTATTTCTGATCTCAGAGGAAAAGCTTTTAGTCTTGCATCATTGAGTATGATGTTTGTTCTGGGTTTTTCATATGTGGTTTTATTTTGTTGAGGTAGTTTCCTTCTAATCCTCATTTGTTGAGTGCTTTTTAAAAAAATTCATAAAAAGAGTATTGTTGTAACCATTTTTTAAAAAAAATATCAGCTGTTCAAACTACTTTTTAGGAACTCAATTCTTTGGTTATTTCTTAACAAATTATAGGCAGGCAACATCAGTTTTCCTGCCTTCCCTCCTGTTTTTAGAGAAACTGCCCTTCTCTAAGTCCATCCCTGTACTTAGCCAGGTCTTTTGTCTGTCTGGGCTGTCAAAGTCAGATGGCTGGGTAATACGTCGATGTTTTTCTGGCTCTGCTACCAATTAGCTCTCCTTAACTGACTACCTGCTTTGCTCTGGTATAATCCCTCCACAGGAAGTGAAAGATAACTTTGGAAAAATGTACAACCTTCAAAGAAACCAGAGATTGTCATTTTGGCCAACACACATGAAACATTTTTGTAAATTATAGAGATAAGATGCCTTTTTAGTAGACTAGCCTGGAGATTTTAATGGCATTGAACTTTTGTTTGAATGAAAGAAGCCACAGGCTAGATTCGTACTAGAATTTTTAGTCTTTGTTTTCTCTAGAAAATAAACCCATATTCTAAACCACATGGGGGAACATAGATCAAGGAGCTTAAACAGACAACAACGATCATAACAGAAACTACCAGAGATGCCTGTCACTCCTAGCTCACACTGTATTTCTAGAATTGCCCTTCCCAAGTTCTGTCAGGGGCATTCTATGTAACACGTCAGTGTTGCTATTAGCAGTGAATTTTCTAGGCCTTTATTAGGCCCAGGAAGAATATTTAAGAATGATTGCTAACCAGTGGGTTTCTTCCTTCACTTTTACTGCCCCCTCAGAAGTGTAAGATCTTTCATTTCTTTCTCTTATATTAATATTACCCTAGTAGTGAGTTCTCTCCATTTCCTACAGACTAGAAATATAAATGCTAGACGCACTCGAGTTTAACAAAATCCTACCAGAATAAAATAGTTTAGCTGTCCTTGGAGTTTGGCATAATGGAATTTCACTTGTACTGAGGTGGCTGGGGACACAAATAAAGTTGTTAGAAGGAGGAAGGGAATGTGGAAACCATGGGGAGCAGGTGATGTGCTCTTGCTCCCCTATTTGGAAAATACAAGCCCTTATTGCTCTTCCTTTCTTTTCTTTCTTTTTTTTTTTTGAGACAGAATTTTGCTCTTGCTGCCCAGGTTGGAGTGCAATAGCACGATCTTGGCTCACCGCAACCTCTGCCTCCCAGGTTCAAGTGATTCTGCCGCCTCAGCCTCCTGAGTAGCTGGGATTACAGGTGTGCACCACCACACCAGGCTAATTTTTTTGTACTTTCAGTAGAGATGGCGTTTCTCCACGTTGGTCAGGCTGGTTTCAAACTCCCAACCTCAGGTGATCTGCCCACCTCGGCCTCCCAAAGTAGTAGGATTACCGGCATGAGCCACCGTGCCTGGCCTGCTCTTCCTTTCTTTTGGGTCTCAGGATTACTTCCTTTTTGGACTTTTTAGACTTTCTCTTTTTAAGTTTCAGATAGCGATGGAAATAAACAAAGAAAAGGAGCTACTTATCACTTTTGTTGGTTTAAAAACAAATCCAGAAGTTTGCATTGGGGATTATGGCTTCCCTGTATATGGAAGAGACCAATACCTCTTAGAATCCAGAGAAAACAGGATGAACACGTTGCTGGAGGCTTGCAGGGCAGAAAGGTCTGCAAGATGCCAAAAGCTCACCACAACTGCTGTGCTCATGCTCATGTCTTTATTTCAGAGTTTGGGCCTGGAAATGGCAGTAAGGTTCTAAAGCTCACTCCATTGCAGGAAGCAGGCTAAACTCAACAAAATGTTAGCATCTTACAACATAGGCTGGGACCTTGATATATTCCTGTAAGAGCTGATCCAGGTCAAGAGAGAGGGCTGGGAACTCACTATCCTCTGAAGAAACACGCATGGAAATGTGACTCAGGGCTCGATGTGGATTCTAGCAATACGAGGAACCTGAGGGAACAGGGAGGAAATGAGAATTGTGATTTGAGGAGAAATTAATGAGGTGATTTCTTGAGGACTGGCCGCACGGCCAGACAGCTCAGCTGCAGGGTGACTTCTTGCCTCTGGGATAACATGGAGTTTATGGGTAGCAGGAAAGGTGGCTATGGACTCAGGCTGAGTAGGTAGCTGGGGTGCTCTTACAGGGTTTCCAGACACAGAAGGGAGATGCCTTTTCTACCTGTTCTCCAAGATGGGTCTGGGTCGGGGTGTGAGGGGACAAGTCTGAGATGTGAGGGACTTGGGTATGATCAGATGATCTTAGACTTGGGTATGATCAGAAGGGGTCTTAATTTGCCTCCTCCCTCTACAGACATCAAAACCACCATCTTTGGTCTCAAGTAGCTAAGAAAATGACTTGAGGTCACAAAAGACCTATTTTCTTCTTCCTACTTGAATTCTCCAACCAGCGATTTAAAGAAAAAAAATCACACTTATTTTTGACAAATGGCAGACATACCTGGGCAGTGGGGCATCCTGATGTATTTGCTGAGGTCCATTCTTTGACCCACGTCCTGGGACAACCCCTTCCAGCCCAAGGTGCCGCACACCTTCCCCCTCGGTGTGGACTCTGTTCTGCTTGGGCTTAGGGCTTTGGTGCATAGCCTCGTGTTCTCAGCTTTCGTCTTCTCTTCTATCTCGTTCTTCAGCTTCTTGTTTTCCTGCTGCAGGTGGACCATTACATTGTGGAGGTGGCTGTGGGAAGGAGAGGAAGGATGGGTGGGTGTTGGGGCTGCTGGCTCTGCTTGGTTCCCTGCTAGAAAGGACAGATAAAGGTGTCACAGGGAAGATAGCACAGATGCCCAGGTCTATTCAGAGCTGTGCTCTTACACACGCTCTGTAGAAATGGAGGCCTACGTGAGTCCTGTGAAAGAAGCGGAGGCCTGGGGTTTCCTGCCTGACTCTGTCAGCTCTGGGCTTGTTTTCTTATCTGTCAGATGGGGACAGTCAGGCCTGCCCTGACTGATGGGGTTCATATGAGGATCTGGTTTGATAAATGATAGAAATTTAACTTGAAGAGCCAGAAGGCTGTTAGGGACAACTGTGACCATGTGTCCTCAGATTCTCGTGGCTGTACCTCAGAAATGCTCTCACCCAGCACCAGTGCCAAAGCCCTCATTCTCTCTGCCTCCCTTTGCTGAAGATTCGGGAGCAAAGGAGATCCCAGCTCTGTCAAGAACTTGGGCAGATTACTTAATCCCCATTATACAGATGAGGAAATGGAGACTGCCATGTAGGTAAGGGGGAAGATAATTTAGTGCATTCCCTGTGGCTCAATAAATGGCAACTTTTATTATCACTGTTGTGTGTCTCCAAACTGATGAGGGCAGGAGGTGAGAGTGAGTTCCAGACTTCCCACATTGGAATTGTGACTCTGCCACTTACTAGCTGTGAGACCAGGGGAAAGTTACCTAGTTTCCCAGGTCCTCTCTTTCCTCATCCATAAATGGGGATCATGAGTATACTGAGCACAGGAGGTCTTATGAACATGAAATGAGTTCGTATGTGTAAAGCACTTAGTACCTCACACATGGCAAACAATATGTATTAGTTGAGCTAATACTATCATTAAAAGATGATTTTCTATCAGATAAGATCAAGAAAACTCAAGAGTGAGTTCTCTGTGAAACAGAACTTCCTGGACTTGGCACAATAGAAGAGAAAGACTGAAGTTATATGTTACCTTTAGAGCCTGACCACGTTTCTTTTAGTTATACCCTAGTGAAAGGTTTCATGGTCTTTTCTAGAGGAACTGAGAAAAGAATTCATCCTCAACCTCTTCCCTGGGCATATGTTCTATGCTTTTGCTCCTACAAACCTGGCCAATCTTGAGGATGCCTCTTCTCCTTCTGGTGGCCCCTCACTCTCTATGCCACTGGGTCTGGTGAGGGAGTCCCACCAGTGCCCTCCTTCCCTGGCTCTCTGGCCCCTCCTGTCAGCCTCCCCAAAGCCTTTAATACCCCATACAGCTCATCCAAGTCCTGGCTTCTCAATTCCTTGGTGGGTCTCATCCTTCTCTTCAACTCAGCCGTGTATCTAGGTCAAAGCCTAGAATAGGGCTTTCCACCTGGGGTGTCACAAATGGGTTCCAGGCGTGCAGAGATACCTGCAGCCCTTGGGGCAGGGTCTGGGGCAGCCACTGCTTGGTCAGCTTTGTCACAAATATGCCAAACAAACGTGGTTACTTTTATCCTTCTTTTTTAGAGACAGGGTCTCAGTCTGTCACCCAGGCCAGAATACAGTGGTGTGAACATAGGTCCCTACAGCCTCAACCTCTTGGGCTCAAGCAGTCCTCTCGCCTCGGCCCCCTGATTAGCTGGGACCATAAGTGTGCACCACCATGCCAGGTGAGGCTAATTTTTAAAAATTTATAATACTTTAAGTTCTGGGGTGCATGTGCAGAACGTGCAGGTTACATAGTTACACACATGCCATGGTGGTTTCCTGCATCAATCACCCAACATCTATATTAGGTATGTCTCCTAATGCTATCCCACCCCTACCTCCCTACCCCGTAACAGGCCCTAGTGTGTGACGTTCCCCTCCCTGTGTCCATGTGTTCTCTTTGTTCAGCTCCCACTTATGAGTGAGAAGATGCAGTGTTTGGTTTTCTGTTCTTGTGTTAGTTTGCTGCGGATGATGTCCCTGCAAAGGATGTGAACTCATTTTTTTTTTATGGCTGTGTAGTAGCCCATGGTGTGTATGTGTCACATTTTCTTTATCAAGTATATCACTGATGGGCATTTGGGTTGGTTCCAAGTCTTTGCTATTGCGAAGTGCCACAATAAACATGTGTACATGTATCTTTATGATAGAATAATTTATAATCTTTTGGGTATATACCCAGTAATGGGATTGCTGGGTCAAATGGTATTTCTAGTTCTAGATCCTTGAGGAATTGCCACACTGTCTTCCACAATGGCTGAACTAATTTACACTCCCACCAACAGTGTAAAAGTGTTCCTATTTCTCCACATCCTCTCCAGCATGTGTTATCTCCTGACTTTTTAATGATCACTATTCTAACTGGTGTGAGTTGATATTTCATTGGGTTTTGATTTTAAAATGTTTTATAGAGGCGAGGTCTTGCTATAATGCCAGACTAGTCTTAAACTCCTGGCCTCAAATGATCCTAAACTGTGGTCATTTTCTTTTTCACTTTTATTTTAGGTTCAAGGGTACAGGTGAAGGTTTGTTACATCTGTAAACTCATGTCACAGGAGTTTACAGATTATTTAATCACCGAAGAATTAAGCCCAGTACCCAATAGTTATCTTTTCTGATCCTCTCCCTCCTCCCATCCTCCACCCTCAGATAGGCCCCAGTGTGTGTTATTTCCTTCTTTGTGTTCATAAGTTTTCATCATTTAGCTCCCACTTATAAGTGAGAAGATGTGGTATTTGGTTTTCTATTCCTGTGTCAGTTTGCTAAAGATAATAGCCTCTAGCTCCATCTGTGTTCCCACAATAGACATGATTTCATTCTTTTTTTTTTTTTTTTTTTTGAGACTGAATCTCCCTCTGCTACCCAGGCTGGAGTGCAATGAGCAATCTTGGCTCACTGCAACCTGTGCCTCCCAGGTTCAAGTGATTCTCCCACCTCAGCCTCCCAAGTAGCTGGGACTATAGGCGTGCACTACCACCCCCATCTAATTTTTATATATTTTTTAGTAGAGACAAGGTTTTGCCATGTTGGCCAGGCTGGTCTCGACATCCTGACCTCAGGTGATCCACTGCCTCAGCCTCCCAAAGTGCTGGGATTATAGATGTGAGCCACCGTGCGGCCGATTTCATTCTTTTTGATGGCCGCGTAGTATCCATGGTGAATATGTAAGGTATGGTCGTTTTCTAAGTGTTCCCTGAGAAAAGGTTGGGAAGTGCTGTCCTAAGGCTTGTTACTTATTACTTTGCTACCTCCAAAATCTGTTTTAGACCTTCATACCTTCACCTTCATTCTCAAACTGGTAACACTCCTCCCATACCTCCCTCTTAGTGGACCCAGCTTTGGCCATGAGGGGAAGCAAGACCACAGTCCCCCAGATGAGCAGGTGGAACAGAAGGGCTCCTTCAACCTGGCCTGCTCACCTGATGATTTCATGAAGAGACGTTCCTTGTTTGTTCCTTCACTTGGGATCTCTGTTACAGCAACTCAGCCCTTGCCCTAATTAAGCCAGTCTGTCTTTCAGTGCCCCTTCCCTGCTTAGCACTCTTGACCTCTGAGAACTATGAGAGCAGGAAGGAGCAAAAAGATAACTAAACCCCCTTTGTATTTTTGGCAAGGGAACTAAGGCCCTGAGAGGTCCAGTGATGTGCCCTAGGTCACACAGATGCAGATTCAGGACTTTGGGGTCTTTCCAGAGCACCCAGGCCTTTCCTGGGCTGATCACCCTCTCAAGGGCTAAAGCCAGCCCTGGCTCCCTGCTGACCCTTCTCATCAGCTCCAGGAAGCAGCCAGGGTGGTGTAGGATGACTTACTCCTTTTCCCCAGTCAGCTTGGCGATGCATTTCACCTGCTCTCGGAGCTTGTTTCCTAGTTTCTCATTGGCGACCCTGTAATAAAATCACAGGAGAAAAGAGCGGCCAGCCCCCAGCCTCCTGGGAGTAAGGGTACAGCTGTCTGAATGGGACGCTGGCGTTCTCAGCAAGACTGCTGCTGCAGCATCCCAGGTCCCCCACATATCACCCTGTGCCCAGAGCTGGGGCCTTCCTAGCAACTGGCAATTCAGAAGATTTTCTGAACTCAACTCCTGTGCAAAATCCCTGTGACTGCCAGGTGAGTTCAAGGGAATGAGTTCAAGGGGGCCAGGCAGTGAAGCTGGATCCCAGGACGGGAAGAGGACATCTGAACCTCAGCAAGGCACCCCTTCCTTCTCGTCGCCGCTGTTTCCTGGTCAGCAGGGCTTTCCAGACCTGCCTGAAGGGGTGAGCCCTCCTCTCCATCTTATTCCCGTCCCTTGGTGGGCTGAGACTGGATCTGTTTTCCAGGAGTGCAGGGGTGTGTGTGACTAATCTTTGGCACCCGCGTGGCTCCTCAGCTCAGTCCAGGCCTCGGACCCTGCCTTCCTTTTTCCTTCCGTACTCACTTCTGCTGTTTCGCCCATTGCTCCAGGTTGGTCATAATCTGATCATTCTCTCTGTGGAGCCTACAGGTGTCTTTGGGCACACACCGCTGGGGCAAGCAGCAGGGCTTGGGTACAAGAAGAAAATGAGACAGTCAGGGGTGGGAGCACAGGCCTGTCACCCGTCCTTCCGAGTCAGGCCTCTTCTGTCTTCCTGGGAAAACAAAACTTGACCCTGCTATCCAACCTGAGGCCAGAGTTGAGTTGCCACCCAGGGCATCCTCTGGCTATGTGGGTGGCATGTCACACAAAGGTAACATATCTGAGAAGGCACCATTTGTGGTGGTGACAGTAGATTTGTACACTTATAATTACGGTTTTCAGTCTGAAGGCATTAAAGTGACTTGTCCTTATGCTAAGCCAATTTTCTAACAGATGGAATACATCTGGAGGAAGAGATACCTTTTTTTTTTTTCTCTTTTTTTTTTTGACAGTCTTGCTCTGTCATTCAGGCTGGAGTGCAGTGGCGTGATCACGGCTCAAGCAGCCTAACCTCCCCCTGGCTCAAGCTATCCTCCCACCTCAGCCTGCTGAGTAGCTGGGATCACAGGTATAGGCCACCATGCCCAGTTAACGTTTAAACATTTTGTAGAGATGAGGTCTTGCTATATTGCCCAGGCTGGTCTCAAACTCCTGGACTCAAGTGATCCCCCTGCCTTGGCCTCCCAAAGTGTAGGGATTGCAGTCGTGAGCCATTCTGCCTGGCCTAAAATGCCTCTAATTTGAGGAAAGGCCCAGTGGTCACCCAAATGTCCTGAGGCCTCCTGCCGTAAACTTCACTGCTCAGGGAGCTGGGTCTGGGACATGCCCAGGTTACTGAGCCAATTCTGCTGTAGGGTCCAGGGCTGCTGAAAGTGTCAGGAGGTACTCTGGAAGGACACCCAGTGGACTAGATCAGGGATAGCTGGTGTACCTGATAGTCTTTTCTCTAGAATGGGGCCTTCATTCTGCTTAGTATCTATCAACAAAGCCACAAGAACACAGGTGCATTGAGCCAGCAGCTGCGGCCTTTGCTTTGCGCTAAATGAAGGAGGTGTCCTTTCCTTTGCTCCCAGGTTCCCCCACCCCCACCAAGGGCTGTCTGGCATCTGGGTGATCATGGGATGTGCCTGAAGCTGCTGAGAAGAGGCGCTCAGAAGCTGAGGCATGCCTACCTCCTTTTCGTCTGCAAGGAGGTTCTCTTTCAGGGCAGCCATCTCCTCCTGGAACTCCCTGAGCTGCTCCTCTTTGGCTGCCAGCATCTTGAGGTCATTCTGGTGTTGCTTCTGCCACTGAAGCACCTGGCAGCTCATCTCCTCTAGCTTCTTGTCGAAGGCATGCACCTGCTCGGGAGCACAAAGTGAGGAGGGGGACCCCAGCCAGCCTCCCTGACCCCAGGACCCACAACGAGGCCAGAGGGTACTTCCTGGGCCTTGAGAGACATGTTGGGGGTATTTTCTTCCTAGCGGCCAGCAGAGGGCACCCATGCTCCGATCTTTGCCGCCTCTGTCTGAAGTTCAGGGAGCCAAGAGAATGGAGGGAACCTATCAGCTCAAGGAAACGGCTTAGTACTAAATAATTCTGGATGCAAGAGGTGACCTTGTGGACCCCTACCAGGAAGGTAGCCCAAGCCCCTGGCTGCTTCTCACCTCTAGCTCACTCTCCTGGTGGAAGCCCTGCAATTTCTTTAATTCTATATTGAGCTTTTTCATCCTTTCCTCATAAGCAATGATTTCCTCCTCCAGCTGGGCTTTCTTCTCTTGGGTCTGTGTCAAGCTTCGCTGCAGGCTCTTTGTCTCCGAGGTCACGTGATTGAGCTTCCGGGAAAGACAAAGGGGATGGATGGCTGTCAGAGTCTTTGGCCCTTTCTGCTGAGTCCTGAATGGAGGAGGGTTCTAGTCCCTTCCTATTCTCTGCCCTGGGTGACACGGATGGTCACCTTACCTAGTGTCCCAGAGAGGGGTGGGAAATGACAGTGGTTTTCTCTACCCCACTTTTTCCTTCCAATACCATGAACTGACAGGCCAGCCATGATCAGCACAGAATGGGGCATCAATTTCCCTGACAATCCAGACTTTGGGAAAACTTTGCTCCTGAGTCACCCATGGGCAGAAAAGCTTGCTAGATTTGGCCTTGATCTTTGTCGTCTTCCTCTGCCCTCCACCCCCCTCCAAACCTCACAAAGAGTAAGCAGGCCTTCTCTGGACAGACATCCCAGCCCATGCAAAGGTTTGAGATGGCCCCGATGACAGTCAGTAAGCAGGAAATGGGCTCCTGTGCCTCTCCCGCTACCTGAAAACAGCCCTGGAGACTAAAGGGTGTGGCCTCACCTTCTCGAGGGCTAGTGTCAGGTCATCCTGGCAGGCGGCTGACTTCTGGGATAATGCGTCATAGGCTTCTTTGGTGATCGTGGTCTGGAGATAGTGCTTCTCCTTCTGCAGAGCTTTGTCCAGCTGGGCCTGCAGGCTCATTAAGGACTCCTTCTGAAGGGCTATCTTTAGGGAGACAGAGCAGAACTGTCAGGGTGGCAGCTCAGGGTCATAGAGGCATTCTCTGTGCCTATAGGAAATAAGCAAAAGCTAGTCTCTCTCCTGTCTGCAACAACCTGCAGAGTCCGTGTTAACACCCACATCTTCACTTCAGCATTGTAAAAGGTAGAGCTGTCTTTCCAGGCTCTTTTGCACCCCCAGCCATATTTCCCTTTCTAGTTTGCATTTCCCTCAAATACCAGGAGAACCAGCAGTGCTGGGAGGGCATGATATGCCAAGTACATAGAAAGTCTCTCACATACTCTGCAGCCTTTGATAAAGATCCGAATCCGATTTGGGGTTAGTGGACATGATAACAACGTTTCCTTTGTGTCTGATGCCTCACTTAGTTCCTGATGTGATTCACTAGACTTGATGTGCCATGAAAGCAGGATTGTATGTGTGTTTTGCTTCCTGCTGTTTCCCCATTGCTGTAACTCAGGGCGTGGGACGTGATAGGGGCTCAGTAAATGCTCAAAAATGGTTTTATTCTGTCTGCAACAACAGACAAATGAAATATTGCATTTTTTGGAGTTAGGGATCAATTGATCAACATGTTAAGAAACATGTAGTTCTGGTAGAAGCATGTTTAAAAGCTGAAGTCTGTTTTCAACTCAGTAATGAGTATTCATGGTATAGTTAAAAGGAAGTTGAGATCTGGAGTCAGAAAAATCTGGGTTGAGGTCCAGGTTCTATCAGGTACTTATTTCTCTGGCCTCACTTTTTGCTTCCACAAATTGGAATCATTTTAACTGTTTCATGGAATTTTTATGATGATCAAATGAGATGATACATGTAAAAAGGGCTTTGTTTTACTGTACAACTATGAGTTATTGTCATAGACACACAGAGCAACTAGCCTTCTTATATACTTTAAGTACGGGACAGAGATTTGCTTCTGAGTCTGGAAGCCAAAGGGGAACTCAGAAATTCATATGCCTGACTTGGGCTCTTTGGTATTCTAGTACACCTGCATCTGAAAGTGGCCATGCACACAGAAACACATTCTTCTGGATTTTTCTTGTTTTATCTCCAGTAACTGCACAGTGCTTCAAGTTTATTACTTTTCCAGATAAAATTTTGAGTACCTTTGGCCCTGGGAATTAGCGAGATGAAAAGTGGTAGACTGGACTTGTGACACTATATTTTACATGTCCTGGTAGTGAAACTATTCCTAAAGATGAAATAATTTGGTCTTCTGAAAACAGAAGTGCATCTTTTCTGGGGACTTCTGAAAAACATGGAGTCAGCAGGGTCTGCCCAGTAAACTAGAGAAATCATCGGAGAAACTATAATTTACTATCAGTGCTTGATAAGTGATGGCTAAACTGAGAAATGTCACTATAGAGGTGAGACACTAAAACAGAGGATAGTGAAAAAAAAATCACAGTGAAGCTAGAAGCTAAAATGGAAAATCAAAAAATTTTTTTTGTTAACATGAGTCGTTTAGCTTAGAGAAAGATTCTAAAAATCTACATATAGACATGTAAATTACAGAATCAAGGCATTCTGGTCAAAGTTCTAGTAAAAGATCTATTCTCTCTGCTGTCAATGGTGTTAGGTCTAGATGGTTTTATAGGTGAATTTCACGAAGTCATCTTTGATTTCTCACTTTCTCTCACATTCATTCCATCAGCTAGACTGGTCAATTCTAGCTAGGCCTCCAAAACACATCCTAAATTTGCCCCCTTCCTTCTTCACTGATACCCCTCTAGCCTGGACAGCAATAACTTCCTAAATGGTCTCCTCACTTCCATACTTATCGCTCCCTCCAATCCATTTCCACACAGTAGTCAAAGTTATGTTTTGAAAACTTAGATCAAATAATCTCCCCTGTCCCTTTGAGGAAATCCATCAATGGCTTTCTGATGCTTTTAGAATAAAATCCCAAATTTCTTAGCAGAGACCATAATGTCTGTCCCTGTTTCCTTTCTAATCTCATTCTATACCAATGTCTCCCTTGATCAATGCATTCCAACCATACTGGCCTTATTTCACGTCTTAGACTATGCTGAGTGTTATATTAAAAGAGTGAGACATGATGCACAATCAAGACTCATACTAGGAATGCAAGGGTATGCCAAAATCGGGATCAATTACTTCATTTGTTTTATTCACCACATTATTTAATTCATTTCCCATTTGCCCCAAGAATACTGCATTGGCAGTGAGCTGTACTTTTTTTTTTTTCTAAATGGGAAATGGGTTAAGGATAAGGATGATAGAATCATCTTTTTTTTTTTTTTTTAAAGCATTTGATAAAATTCAACACTCATATTAATAAAACTCTTAGTAATGTGGAACTGAAAAAGCCTGCTAAAGGACAGCAACAAGAAGGCTACAGGGAACATCATACTAAAACAGAGGCATTCCTTTAAGTTAAATGCCAGAAAACAATGCCTGCTAATATTGCTGCTATTGAACATCAAACTGTAGGTACTGTCCAATGCAATACGTAAGAAAAATTATATAAATATAAATATTGCAAAGAAATATTAGAAAACTGTTGTTGCTTGCAGATAATATAATCATCTACTTAAAAAATCCATGAGAAGTAACTAAAAAACAATTACGACTTATGAGTTCAGTAAGATGTTCAAATACAGAATGAATATGTAAAAAATAAATGAGCTTTCCTATTATTGACAGTAATTAATTTATAAAATACTATGGGAATATTCTTGAAACAAAGAGATGGAAAAGACCTCCAGATATATTGCCTTGGCTTCAGATGGAAAAATTTAAAATTAAAATATGGAATATTAATGAAATGAAGTTCATTCTAGAAAAAAAACCCAAAGCTTCTTTCTAGTGGCTGTTTCAATTAATTAAGTTTTCCATATGTGGGGTATGTTTTTTTTTTTTGAATTGGAGTCTCGCTCTGTCACCTATGGCATGATCTCAGCTCACTGCAACCTCTGCCTCCTGAGTTCAAGTGATTTTCCTGCCTCAACCTCCTGAATAGCTGGGATTACAGGCATCTGCCACCAAGCCCAGCTTACTTTTGTATTTTTAGTAGAGGTGGGGTTTCACCATGTTGGCCAGGCTAGTCTTGAACTCCTGACCTCATGATCTGCCCACCTTGGCCTGCCAAAGTGCTGGGATTACAGGTGTCAGCCACCGCGCCTGGCCAGGGTATGCTTTTTAAAAGCTGAACATGCTTATACACACGCACAAATTACCTAGCCTCCTGATTCTCAGTAAACGTATTCTGAAATTAGTGCTTTTACTTTCACATTTACTTGGTTATCTTTCTTTTGGCAAATATGACAATATGTCCATATTAAACACGTAGGAATCTGAGTATCACATATGTTCATGGAGGTTCCTTAGGGATCTGAGTGACTCCGACTTCAACTCTGGATCACACTCAAGGAGAGATTATTATCTCTGGAGGACAACTCCAAGAACATCAGTGCCTCAGGCCTGTGCTGTATAATATGGTAGTTACTAGCCACATGAGGCTATTTACATTCAAATAAACATAACAATAATTAACATTAATTACCATTACAAATTCAGTTCCTCCGTTATACTAGGCCATATTCTAATCACTCAATGGCCACATGTGGCTAAAGGCTAGCACTGGCAACTCAGACATACAACTTTTCCATCATCACAGAAAGGAAGCAAGTTCTACTGGGCAGTGCTAATTTAATACTTAGAAAAGTCAACTACTTTAAGATTCATTTTTATATTATGAAGGAATAACGGCTGCTTGGCCTTTCATTTGTAGCCCGAGAGACCATCTACCATGGTGTTATATTTTTCTCATGCCCAGAAAGATGGAATGGATTCAGCTGGAGAAAGTATGGCTGCTTATGATGAGGGAGAAAGGGGATAGGCGTTAGAGCTAGATAATTCCAGTTCAAATAGTGGTTCATCCCATCACTTGCTGGTGAGTGACTTTGACCCTCCATCTTTTTTTTTTTTTTTTTGAGATGGAGTCTTGCTCTGTCTTCAGGCTGGAGAGCAATGGCGCGATCTCGGCTCACTGCAATGTCCACCTCCCGGGTTTCAAGCAATTCTGCCTCAGCCTCCCAAGTAGTTGGGACTACAAGTGTGCACCCCCAAGCCCAGCTAATTTTTTGTATTTTTAGTAGAGACAGGGTTTCATCATGTTAGCCAGGATGGTTTCGATCTCCTGACCTTGTGATCCACCTGCCTCGGCCTCCCAAAGTGCTGGGATTACAGGCATGAGCCACTGTGCCTGGCCCACCCTCCATCTTTCTTTCCTCTATCATGTCTCTCTTGTTGGCAATAAAGTATGTGGAAGCCATGTAAAGAGCTTAAGTGGACAATAAATAAATAATGACTGAATTCAAGCATACTGCCTAGCATATGTCAGATGCTATTTACTCCTTTCTGTCATTTTTACTTGTGTAATGAAAAATAACTGTCCCCCTTTTCGTGCTTTGTGACAAGTTTTGGAAGTGTTGTCTGGCAAATTGTTCCCCCAAATGGATTCATTCAACTCTGGTCTAAAATGTAATATTGGAAGACTTGATGCCAAAGCCCAAATAGCTTGGGGGTTCCACCAGATACGAGATGAGACCTTCCCCGTATGGAAGAAACATTTCTCTGGCTCAGCGACCACGTGCCAATGGGGAGGGAAGTGGAGCTACAGGTGGCCTAAGATCTACAGTTGGCTGAGCAGTTAGTGGCATTTCTGTGTGGAGGAGACGTGGGTACAGATTTCAGGTCAAGGGTCACAGGGTTCAAGTTCCTCACCCCTTGGGGTTCCTGTGTACGTACCTCTTTATTCAAGTCTTGGATGACTTGCTGGCTGGTGTTGTATTTGTTAATAGAGGATTCCAGTTGTGTAGAACAATACTGTAGCTCTGCTCGAAGCTTCTCATTTTCTTCCTCCAACTTTCTGGAATTCTCTTTCAACTATTCCCTCATTAAAGAATAAGGCACAGCCAAGAGGTGTTAATTTCAGATACCTATAAAAGCCCCAATCCACCCTCCCTCTCCTCCAGCTCTATCTTCACCTGCATGAACTCAGGCTTTCTCCAACCTCTGTCTCCACCTGTGGAAGCTCAAGCCTTCCCCCAGTTCTTTCTCCACCTGTGGGAGCTCAGGCCTTCCTCCAGCTCTATCTCCACCTGCGGGAGCTCAGGCCTCTGGCTCCCCTCCGCCCTGGCCTTCCCCACGCTCCCTGTCGTCTTTCCTGACATCTGGGCATCCAGGGCCTCCGCATCCCTCCAGGCCCAGCTGGGTTCATATCCTGCTCTGGATTTCTGACCCAGCTCTCCTGGGATTCTCCCACTCACCGTCTTGTCTTTCTTTTTAAATTCCTGCTGCAAAGCTTCAAGTTCTTCCTCCATCAGCTTCTCATGGTCTTTGCTCTTCTTCAACTGCTCCCGTTTCTCCTCCAGTAGCTTTGTGGCCTCCTGAAGATCATCTTCTAACTTGCGTTGAGTGGAGGCTTGCTCCCTTTGCTGAAGAAATAAAGACTGAGCTGAGAGACTGTCTTAGACTATATTATATTTGGGGTAAAAATCCAGACAATTGCACACAGGGCATGGCTGAAATGAATAAGAAGACAATTCCTTAGTTATATAGCATATGTAAAATAAAACGTTTCCTCTAATATCTGTAACATTTTTCTTTGTTCAGTCAGATATGCCAATTTATTTATTGATCCAATTCCTAAGCATCAGCTTTCTTTTCCACTTTCTCACCAATTCTTGCCAAAGATTTGGAAGATTCCAAATCTTCATCAAAAACTTTTTTGAATAAAGTTTAAAAAATCTTAGAAGAACACAAAAGAGTAATTCAGAGATCAAAGGCTTTAAACTGACAATATCTCCTGCTGCTGAGCACTATTTAAAAAATAAATGGACTGATAAAAATAGCCTTTGAATCCTAGACAGAACAACACTGTTGTTTGATTAATTTTAAGATTAACCCTTGAAAATGCTTCTTGCAATGGGAGCTGGTGCTGAGTGGCTGGCTTAGCATGCTAACACAGTTCTGGATAATTAGTTTGCAAGGATTGGTGGTGGTGGTGTTTTCCCAGATAACGAATGATATATTTAATCTTTTTCTTTTTTTCTGAGATGGAGTTTTGCTCTTGTTGCCCAGGCTGGAGTGCAATGGTGCGATCTCCTGCCTCCACCTCCAGAGTAGCTGGGATAACAGGCACATGCCAACACATCTGACTAATTTTTTTATTTTTAGTAGAGACGGGGTTTTACCATGTTGGCCAGGCTGGTCTCAAACTCCTGACCTCAGGTGATCCACCTACCTTGGCCTCCCAAAGTGCTAGGATTATAGGTGTGAGCCATCATGCCCGGCCTTTTTCTTTGAGACAGGGTCTCACTCTTTCATCTAGGCTGTAGTGCAGTTGTGCAATCATAGCTCACTGAAGCCTCAGTCTCCCAGTCTTAAGGGATCCTCCTACCTCAGCCTTTCAAGTAGCTGGGACTACAGGCATGTACCATTATGCCCTGATCATGTTTGTATTTTTTTGGTAAGGCAGGGTCTTGCTATGTTGCCCAGGCTGGTATGGAATCCCTGGGCTCAAGTGGTCTGCCTGCCTTGATCTCCCAAAGAGGTGGGATTACAGGCATCAGCCACTGCTCCTGGCCTGTGTTTTATCTTAAGCAGAGCAAGTGCTTGAATGGTCCATCTACCTGCCCATCATACCTGGTGTTGAATGAGCTTGATACGATCAAGCATGTCATTCATTTTCATATCCTGCTCATCCACTGTCTTCTGAAGCTGCCTGTTTTCCTTGTCTGAATTTTCGAGCTTCCTTAGGGCTTCAGAGAGTTCTGATGACAACTCCTCCACCCGTTTTCTAAAGCAAAATAACAGCCATAGGAGGACAGACTTCAGTGCCCATGTGGGCAGACCGTGGAGCTGACCCCATGGGAAGTCGTTGCTCTCCAACTCTTGGGCAGCTGCTCAAGAGGGACAGAACCTCTCTCTGGAGGTAAGCCTGGCACCTGTTGGAGGTTTGTTCCTTCTCAGCCATCAAGGATTCCTTCTGCAGCTTCTGAAGTTCTCGCTGTAGTTCCTGGATGGTGTCTGCTTTCTGCTTGTCCAGGAGGAGGGAGTTCTGCAGTTTTCTCTGAGCGTCCTCCAGGTTACTGCCTGCCAGCGCCACCGCTTCTTTGCACTGAGCTGCTTGCTGAGCTACGGAAGCCGGGAGATGGCCATGTGAGACAGGAGGGTGTAGGAAGATCACACTCCTGTCAGCCTGGCTGAGCAGTTTTTCCTTTCATTTTGTGCCCTACTTCAGTTCCCAGTCTGTCCTCATTTCTCTCCATTTCACAATCAGTCCTAAAGAGCTCTGTTAAATTATCTGTCTTTGTCTACTCCTCAGCTGTGGACACCTTCTGGACTAAAATTAAACAAATTGGTAGAAATTTCTCAGTACCTCCTGTGTGACTCATCCTGCCGTTAGGGACAAATCCTGACTGTCCTGGAGTTTAGAGACTGCCGAGGGAGGCTTGCTGACCCACCGTCCTAGAGAACCCTATCATGTTACATTCGCACAGACTGGCCTCAGAAGAGAGATCAACGTGGCTTAGAAAGCTTGGAGATGGATGAGCAGAGGAAGAGAAGCTGAGATGTAGAAGAAGGAGGAGGAGGGGAATTCCAGGAGTGGGGATTGTTAGAGCAGATGCCTGGTGAGGGGAATGGGAAGGTGTGTGGGAGGGTAGAAGACATCAGTTTGACTGGAAAGGGAAGTGGGGAGGAACGGTGCATGATAGAGTTGAGTAGTGGATGGATGGCGGGGCTTTGGAGGGCTTTGGAAGCCTAAGAGAAATTCTTAGATGTGGTTTAGTGGGTTCTTCAGCAGGAATCCATCATAAAAAAAAAAAAGTGCTTCAGGAAAATTGGAATGCATTAGAATGGAAAAAAACTTCCAGCAATATCCTTCAAGTCCATACTTTTACCTCCACTGGGTAAGAGGGGAAGGCAGCTACAAAGTCAGCGCTGAGGCTCCAAGTTTTGGAGTTACCTATAGAGAAAGTGAGCTACACAGAGGAGGGAGCTGACTGAAGAATGAGTAAGAGAGGAAGGAGAGTCTCTAGATGACTACAATCAAAGCAGGAGAGAAAAGAAAACAATGGGGAGGTTTGTGGGAGAATGATGTCTCCAAAGATGAGAAACAAGCTTTGAGGTGTGAGTAGCCAACAGCGTCAAGGAACACAGCACTAAAGGAAGGTGAGGAAGAAAGCCAGGCTTGGATCTTATCTTATAAATTGACAAGTAATTCATATAACATAAATTTAGCCTCCCCCTCTTCCTTTTTATGAGACAGAGTCTCACTCTATTGCCCAGCCTCGAGCGCACCGGCATGATCTCAGCTCACTGTAACCTTGACTTCTTAGGCTCAAGTGATCCTCCCACCTCAGCCTCCCATGTAGCTGGGACTACAGGTGCACGCCACCATGCCTGGCTAATTTTTGTATGTTTTGTAGAGATGAAGTTTTGCCATGTTGCCCAGGCTGGTCTTGCACTCCTCGGCTCAAGTAATCTGCCCACCTCCGCCTCCCAAAGTGATGAGATTATACGTGTGAGCCACTATGCCTGGCAAATTTATCCTTTTAAAGTGTACAATTTAGTGGGTTTTTTTTTTTTTGATGCTCAAAAAGTCATGCAACCATCACCAATATCTAATTCCAGAACATTTTCATTGCCCCACAGAAACGCTGTACCCAAAGCAAGACCTCTGAGAAAGCAGACTGTGGAGGGACAAGGACATCATCCACAGTGCACGCCGCATAGAATGTATTTGGGGGCAAGAAGGAGAAAGGGAAGAAAAAGCTAGGGAAGGGAGAAGTGAATTGTGTGATGAGGGCCTGGAGAAGCTGGAGAGGAATATGGTGTAAAGGACAGAGCCCTGCCTTCCTGTGGCCAGGAAGGCAGGGTCTTCAGGCAGACTGCTGGGAGAATGGTGGGGGAGGTGGGGTGACTCCAGAGAGCAGGTGAGTTTGGGAGTGGGTGAAGGAATTCAAGAGGGCAGTGGCCACTGCTGTGAGGTACTGGATGAGCCCCTGAGAAGGTCTGCAGTGAGTCATTGGAGGAGGGGGAGGGGAAGTGGCCACTGGGAGAGAGAAGGTGGCTGTTCTAGCCCCAAGAAAAATGTGGTAGGGACAGCACCTGTGGGGGGCCTCACCAGCCAGCCTCTGCTGCTGCTTGGCCTCTTCGAGACTGTTCTTCAGCTTCTGGACCTCTGTCTGCAGGGCCTCGCACTCCACATCCTTGGACTTGTCCTGCTTAGCCTCCCTGATGGTCATTTCAAGTTCTGTGGTCACGCACTGCTGCTTCTCCAGCTCCTTTTCCTTTTTCAGGAGGCAGTTCTGAACCTGTGCCAGTTTCTTCTCCAGCTCACACAGCATTTCATCTTTCTCTTGGAGGAACTGAAGAGAGCAAAGTGCAAATGCTGAGACAGGTCTGAGCGGCAGTGGGTGAAGGCAGTGAGAGGTTGTCTCAAGCCCTCATCCAAGACAGCGGCACCCCCTGCCTGGACCTTGCACGAACCTCCCTGCCTCCCCTCCTGTTCCCCTCAGGCTATTCTACACGTAGTCAAGAGATGGAGTCTTTATTATTATTTTTGAGATGGAGTCTCTCTCGCTCACCCAGACTGGAGTGCAGTGGCATGATCTTGGCTTACCGCAACCTCCCAGGTTCATGTGATTCTCTGGCCTCAGCCTCCCAAGTAGTTGGGATGACAGGTGTCTGCCACCACGCTCAGCTAATATTTGTATTTTATAGTAGAGATGGGGCCTCACCATTTTGGCCACGCTGGTCTCGAATTCCCAACTTCAAGTGATCCACCTGCCTCGGCCTCCCAAAGTGTTGAGATTACAGGTGTGAGCTACCACGCCCAGCCTTTTATTATTTTAGTTGAGTTTAGTTTTAGTTTTTGATGCAGGGTCTCACTCTGTTGCTCAGACTGGAATGCAGTGGTACGATTGTAGCTCAATGCAACCATGACCTCCTAGACTCAATTGATCATCCCACCTCAGCCTCCCTGTTATAGCAGGTGGCTAGTCAGATGTGAGCAGGGCAGGAGAGGGCTTCCCTGCCACATACACCAGGGTTGTCAGGCGACCATCAGGTGATGGTCAGGAGGTTAATTGTCTCTCTAAAGTAATAATTGTTCACAGCTGGTGCCAGGGAAAGGCCGTCTCCGAATAGATAGAAAACACCTGACACTGGGATCAGCGGATGCCTGGTAAGATCTCAGGAGTTGGGAGAGTGGTGAGAAGTAACGCAGGACCCCAGAAGTAGGCCACGTTATAAAACCCCAAGACAAGGGGTCAAATGGCACACTTGGTCTCTCAAGCCACCCCCTTCACTCTCTTTCAAGTGTACTTTCCTTCCTTTCATTACCACTCTAAGGCTTTTAAAATACGTTCACTCCTTCCTGCTCTAAAATGTGCCTCAGTCTCTCCTTCTGCCTAATGCTCCTCAGTCAAATTCTTTCTTCTGAGGAGGCAAGATTTGAGACGATAATGGATAACTACCACTGCTAACATCCTGAGTAGTTGGGACTACAGGCGTGTGCCACCACACTCAGCTAGTTTAAAAATTTTTTGCAGAGATGGGGGTCTCGCCATGTTGCCCAGGCTGGTCTCAGTCTCCTGAGCTCAAGTGATCCTACCTTGGCTTCGCAAAGTTCTGAGATTACAGGCATGAGCCACTGCGTCCAGCTAGAGAGGGGGGTCTTAAAAGTGCAAGTCAGATCTTTTGCCTCAGCTCAAAATCCTCCACTGGCTTCCATCTCTTAGAAAAAGGAGGAAGTCCTTACAATCACCCCATGGTCTGGTCCTAGGCTACCTGTCTGACCTCAACCCTTGCCACCCCCACCCCTCTCTGCTTCCACTGATCTCCTAGAACAGTCCAAGCAGACTCCACCTTAGGATCTTTGCATTTGCTGTTCCCTCTGCTTGGAATATTCTTCCTGAAGACCTCTGCCTGGGTGGCTCCCTCACTTCCTTCAAATCTCTGCCCAAATGTCACCTTATCAGAAAGGACTTCTCTGACCATCCTGTGTAAAACCGCCACCAAGCTGTTTGAGGGATTTATCAGTGTCTGACATGGATATGTCAGTATTATGTATTAATTTTGTTTACTGGCTATCTCCCCCCACAGGAGTGTAAGCTCCACAAGAGGAGGGATGTTGCAGGTTTTACATATTCGTAGCATCGAGAACAGTGCTTGGCATATCTTAGGGCTCAAAATATTTGTGGAGTGAATATACGAATGACTCGAGGCTGTTTACCCAGACTCCATGCCTTGTCATCGTCTCTCCAAATGCCTCTGTTTTGATGGGCATATCTCCTCTGTGCCTTGAAACAGGAGGTTTTCATGACCAGCCAGTCTATCAACTGGATTCTTCTTCTCTTTATTTGAGACTGAGTTTTGCTCTTGTTGCCCAGGCTGGAGGGCAGTGGGGCAATCTCAGCGCACTGCAACCTCCCCTCCTGGCTTCAAGCCATTGAAGCCAGGAGGGGAGGCTGAAGCCAGGAGGGGAGGTTGCAGTGTGCTGAGATTGCCCCTGAGCCTCCCAAGTAGCTGGGATTAAAGGTGTGCACCACCATTCCCGGCTAATTTTGTAATTTTCTTTTTTTTAGTAGAGATGGGGTTTCACCATGTTGGTCAGGCTGGTCTCTAACTCCTGACCTCAAGGGATCCACCCGCCTCAGCCTCCCAAAATGCTGCGATTAAAAGCATAAGCCACCGTGCCCAGCCCTCAACTGGATTATTTTGAATAGCTCTGACAGAAGTTCAGAGTCAGAAAAGTACTGACTATAAAAGTTTGCATTGGTTTCACGAGCTTTCTGTTCTTGGTTCAATTTCTAGACTTTTCTAGGAACTTGATTTATGTTGGCAGCAACAGTTCTTTTAGGGCACAGCTCCGTTAATATTATCAAACTGCCTATTTACATATTTATAAGATATTTGTAATTTTTTGTTTTGTATTTTGTTTTTGTTTTTTGAGACAGGGTCTCATTCTAGTGTCCAGGCTGAAGTGCACAGCATGATCACGACTCACTGCAGCCTCCACCTCCTGGGCTCAAGTGATCCTCTGGCTTCAGCCTCCTAAGTAACTGGGACTACAGGTGTATGCCACCATGCCCAGGTACTTTGTATTATTTGTAGAGACAGGGTCTCATCATGTGGCCCAGGCTAGTCTCAAACTCCTGGGCTCAAGAGATCTCCCCACCTCGGCCTCCTAAAGTGCTGGAATTGCAGGCGTGAGCCACTGGGCCCAGCCAGATGTTTGTAATTTCAAAAGTGAAATTCACTTGAAATTCTCAATAAGGCTACCTGTTATTTTATATCATTTCCTTCCACTATCAAGCATAAAAAGAGTATAAGGGAACAATGCAAGTAACTGTGTCCCAAATGCTCCTGCTACCTTGCAGGGCTTGGGAAAAGTCAGTGCCTCTGTTATGGTCCCTGCGTAATCAGATTAATTTATTTCGTGTGATGAGAAATACCAAAACAATGCTGAGAATTGCGCCTGGGCCTGAAGAGCCTACTGTCTCATTGTGCTTGTGTTGAGGCTCCCGAAGCAATCACCACAGGTGAAGGCAGAACTGGTTCTTGCCAGGGCGTGGCCTCACAGCTGCCTCCAACTAGAGTTCCTCACTTTACCTTGTCTTTCTTCAAAGCGAGCTTTTGGGTTTCGGCGAACTGCAGCTGCAGCTCCTGCAGGTGGCACTGCAGGATGGCAAGGTCCTTATCCTTCCTCTCGATGTGGGCAGATGTCTCCTCCCGTAGCCCATGCAGGTCCAGCTCCAGCTTCATCATGTCTACCATGGGGCAGGACAGAGTGCTATGCTCAGAGGAGGGCTGGGCTTCCTTATGGCTCCCCTGCCACTACAGCCGGCAGCCCTGGTTTACCTTTCAAGATGTTTTTCTTCTGTTCTGACACGGCCTCTAGTTCCATGCGCAGGTCCTTCACCAGGTTCTGGTACTCCTCCACGTGCAGGCACTGGCTGTCTTTCTGCTCCTGCAAGTGCTTCAGGATCTAGCAGACCAAAGAACAGGGCAGGATGAGGAGGTGGGGGAGAATGGAGAATGCTTTCTAAAATGCCCACTGTCTACACGCAACAGTCGGTAGGGCATAGTAATAAAGTAATGGTTGCTGGGGGCCAGGGGATGGGTGTGCGGAGTGACTGCTAATGGGCACAGAGCTTCTTCTGGAGTGACACAAATGTTCTGGAATTAGGTAGTGGTGATGATTTCCCAACCTCGTGAATATACTAAAAACCAATGGTGAATTTTATACTTTGTCCATTATATCCCAATTAAAAAATTTTTTTGAAAAAGAGACTAAAACCAAAGGATATTGTAGACTTCTCAGGCTCACATGGAATATGCATAAAAGTACCATCCCTTCCTCCCTGAGATAGACAGTTGTTTATGGAGTATCTACTGTGTGCCCAGCACTGTCCTGGGTGTTAGGCATGGGTCTATTAATATTTTCCAAGCAAATAATGTGGAGCAAAGGACATAGACAAATCCTTGCCCCCATGGAGCTGACCTTGTGGGGTGAGATGAAGAGCATGATAAGTAGTGACTTACAGAAAATATTAACAGTTGTTAAGTACTATGGGGGAAACAAGAGCTAAGGAGAATGGAAGGGCATGGGCGGGGGAGGCGCATGTTGGAATTTTAAGTAGGAGCATAAGCTGGCCTCCCTGTGAAGGTGGCCTCTGAACTGAGACTTGCTGGAGGTGAGCTTTCAGGTAGGGAGACTAGCCAGGGACACGGTCTGTGGAGGGAACATGGAAGAGGTAAGCACAGCTGGCACGGAGCAGGCAATGGGGATAGCAGGAGGAGATGAGGTGAGGAGCTAGGTTGTTACATCGTGTGGGGCTTGGGGTCGTTCTGTAAGACATTTGGCTTCTACCCTGAAGGAGAGGGGAATCCCTTCCTCACCAAGAGAAGGCAGGAACACATGACTGAGGAGGAGCAATTCATTGCCTGGGCATCAGGGACGTTGGGGAGAGTTATTTGTGTGATTTCAGAGCTGCCAGGAGGGAGGGTAGCAGCATGACTCCAGGAGGTGACAGCTAGAGAGATTCAACGCAGCCACTGCAGGACCCAGCAGTGGGCACTGCAGGGACTTGAAGCCCCACACTGTGCTATACTGGCCGAGGGGAGGAGAGGCCTGCTGGAAAAAGCTGACATGTGGCTCTCGTTCCTGATGGTGCCCCAGGGAGCATGGAGGCTTTGGAAAGGAAATATAACACAGCAGGGGAAGGTGCATTCTGCTTCTTGGGGAAGTTTGTTTCATTAAAAAAAAAAAAAAAAAGGAGTCTTATGAAATTTTTTTGCTCTAGGTCAGGATGTGAATAACATGAAACTGATCTTTAAAATAAATATTGACAGATGTCCAAGGAAGAACTACAAAGTTCAATATTGATCCCTTGTTCATCCAACTTCCTGGGATTGAAAAGTCCTGGAAAGAGGAGTCTCCTCCTCCCCGACTAGAGAAGCCCTTGGGGAGCTGACGTGTTGTTTACTCCCTCTGCCACCCCACTTTGCCCCCATTTCGGCATCAGTCTTGGTGCGTGCAGGCATGCCAGCACCTGCCCAGTGTGGCCTCCTGTGGCTGGCTTTGCCAGGTAGCAAGTTCATTCAGGACTGACTTAACAGGATCTCACCTAGGAGGACACCTGGCCATGTTTTAACTCCTGGTTCATCCATTTTTTTTTTTTTTGAGATGGAGTCTCACTCTGTGGCCCAGGCTGGAGCGCAGTGGCATGATCTCATATCCCTGCAACCTCGACCTCCTGGGTTCAAATGATTGTCCTGCCTCGGCCTCCCTAGTAGCTAGGACTACAGGCATGTGCCACCACACCTGGCTAATTTTTGTATTTTTAGTAGAGATGAGATTTCTCTATGTTGGCCAGGTGGGTCTCAAACTCCTGACCTCAAGTGATCTGCTGGCCTTGGATTCCCAAAGTGCTAGGGTTACTGGCATGAGCCACCACACCTGGCCGATCAATTCTTGTTATTTGTTTCCAGGGTTTAACTGCATATTTCTTACTAGAATCAACTTTTGATACTGCTTTGAATTTTGCAAACAGTGAGTTTTCAAAAAAAAAGCAGGGGGAATGAAATTGGATTAATAATCTTTTCTAAATTAGCTACTTTTGAACTCTAGCCAGACACTGGGAGGCTGGATGGTCCTTTTGAATCTAGCAAGGCAACAGAAGTACTGTGTCCCTTAAGTGCACTGTTAGAAGAGATAGGTGCAATTCCAAAATTGAATGCTGCCTGTCTTTGGGGTTTGCCATATATTATACACAGTATAATTTTATATATTTTATTTATAAAATAAAATATATAACAGTATATATTTTATTTATAAAATAAAATATATAACAGTATATATTTTATTTATAAAATCTATATAACTCTATTTTATTTTTAATATATAACAGTATATATTTTATAACAGTGTATATTTTATTTATAAAATAAAATATAAACTATCAAATAAAAATAAAAAATAAGTAGGGAAGTCCAGAGTCAAAACCCAGCTCAGCCTGATCCCAGTGGGCACAGATCAACAAATTTCTCCCACCTTTTTGATGTCTTCACACTCTTCTGAGGAGCTAGGAGGGTATCTGTGGGTGGCTGTATAGGAAGCAAAGTCTGCCTGTAGTTTTATCAAAGCCTCTTCACGCTCCAGAACCTGCAAATAAGCTTAGGTCAGTTATGCTGGATGATCAATGGAACATGCTTGTTACCATGACTATTATTTCAGAGTGTTCCTTTCTGCAGCATAAGTTTGTTGTAGAATTATACAATTCATCAGGCACTCCCTGTGGGGTAGGGAGAAGGAATTAAGCTCCCCATCTTAAATCAAGGTTCTCTAAGGCATATGTGATTTGTCTCAAGTTCATCAATGCCCAAACTTGCACTCTCCCCTAAACCTCCGTGTGGTCCATTTGATGAGGCAGAAGAAGGTTCTTCAGGGGCTGTGATGGAGAGATGTACCTAATCTATCCAGAGGACAGGATACAAAGTTTGAGAATTAAAGAAGAAATAAGAAACAAACGGAATTTTTCCTTATAGAGTATGTGACTGTGTGTATACTTTTTTTTTCAAAAATTAAAAAATATGAAATTTTGGTTTTAATTTTATGCTTTTTTGAATTTGTTGAAAATAATTCAAACAAAACCCAAGCATGGAAAAGTGAAACCCCCTCTTCACTTATTCTCCCCTCTCTCACTTCCACTAAGGGAGAGGACAGTATTGAAAATTTAGTTTGTACTTATATATTAGCATTATGATCAGAGATAAAACAAAAGTACGACTGAACTATATATGGGACTCTGCAACTTATTCTCGACAATAAGTCACAAACCTACTTCCATGCAGCTCTTACAGATGTGCTTAGTCCTTTTTACTGGTTGCATATTATTCCACAATAGGAATATCTCTTTAATTATTTCTCTTAATCTCTTTAATCATTTCCCCACTGATGGGCAATTAGGTTGTTGTGTGAGAGATTTTAAGATTCTTTATCTCAAACTATGTGGGTGGGGAGATGCATATCACGGAGAATATGGATGAAGGTGAGGTAAGTACATATAACACATTTGAGGATTCTTGGTGAAAAAGATTAATTTAGGTGACTCTTTGTCCCTCCTTTTCTTCCCCACGTCTTGATTGTGGGTCTCTCAGAGACATGTTCTAGAAGGCACTTACCAAAGCATTACTGCAGGCCAGCTTATTTCGAAGTTCTTGAATGAGATCATCCTGTTCAGAGACTTTTTGCCAGACTTCAGACAGTCGTTTCAGGGTCTCCTGATGCTCTTGAATCATGCAAGGAGAAGTGTATATCCGCACCTTTGAATGATCACCCTTGTTCTCAGGGTCCTGGGAGATTTAAAAATTAATGGGTTGGTTTTGTTTATAGTTTGTGAGTTACTTCAGAATTCCATGAGCATGGAAAATCTCTAGACCTACATTGTAAAGGTCTATATTCATATATGGAAATCATGGTTTCCTTAACAAAAGAAAAAATATTAACTAGTACATATACATGGTAAAAGGTCCAAATGGTTCACAAGAGTAGACACTGAAAGGTAAGTCTTCCTACATCCTAACTATGACTCAAGCCCCCTTCTCGATGACAATCCATGTTACCAGCTTTTTGGATATCATTTGGAAATATTTTATGCATATTTGTATATGCATATGTGGATAGGCATATAATTCTCACTTTTTTCTTAAAATGAGTCTTTTTTTTTCTTTTTCTGAGACAGAGTCTCACTCTGTCATCCAGGCTGGAGTGCAGTGGCGCTATCTCGGCTCATTGCAATGTCCACCTACTGGATTCAAGCGATTGCCCTGCCTCAGCCTCCCAAGTAGCTGGAATTACAGGCATGCACCACCACACCTGGCTAATTCTTTGTATTTTTACTAGAGACAGGGTTTCACCATGTTGGCCAGACTGGTCTCGAACTCCTAGGCTCAGGTGATTCACCTGCCTCAGCCTTCCAAAGTGCTGGGATTACAGGCAAAAGCCACCATACTCGGCCAACAAATGAGTCTTTCATATAGTATTTAAACATTGTGTTTTCACTTGACAATTTATTTATGATAGTTTTCATATTGTTACTTGTTGATCTGTCTTACTCCTCTTTTAAAATGAATTTCAAATTACACAAGTAATTATATTTATATTGTATCTCTAAAACATTGTAACACTACAGGTAAATTTGAATTTTTCTTTGACCATCGCTTCTAATTTCATTCTCTCTCTACTTTCCAGAGATGACAGTCTGTGCCTATTTATCTAGAACTTTTTACTATATTTACATAATATAAATGAATCTGTACAATATAAATTATGTTGGCTTTTTAGAACATAAAAAAATTTCTTTACTCAGCAAGATGTGTTAGAGATTTGTCAATGGTAGTAGTAGATGTGCTTCTATCTTGTTCTTTTAAATTGCTGTTAAATGTGTTGATCTGGTTTCCTACTGATGAGAATATAGGTTGTTTCCACATTTTTTTTTCTGAAACAAAGCTGAAAGGAATGCTTTTGCATATAAATCTTTGAGTATTTATTCTGGTAATTGTGTCCATTAAATTCATAGCAGTAGGACTGCCAGATCATATTTAAACTTGGATATTGTACTATTGTCCTTCAAATAAATTGTACCACTGAACACTGTCACCAACATGAGTATGGCTGTTTTCCTAGAACCATGTTTGTTTGTTTGTTTTAAATGTCTTTCCCTAGATCATTTGAAATCATGCATGAATGTTGCTGCCCTCTTACTGGTTTGCATTCATAAGGGGGTAAATTGATATACACGGTAAAAAAAAAAAAAACAGCAAAGCATTCTAGTTTGGATGGTAGATCACTTCCCCATTAAACTTGTCTCCCTAACCAGGCTTTTTCAGGCAAAGTTAGGAGTAGTTCATGTTCACTGAGCATGGAAGCCTCCCATGAGCAAGCTGCAGGAAGACCAGGCGGAAATCTAAAACGGACTGTAAATAATGTTCATGTAGATAATGCAGAGTCTGTGGGGGCAAATGACTGGAAAACATAACAGCAAAGCTACCAAGGAAGAAGATATCTACAGGTTTCAATATGTTCTTAATACTACTGGATGAAAAATGGAAATTAATTTAAAAGGAATAGGAGAAAAGATTCTCTGAAGTGAAGAAAAATGTAGATCTTCAGACTAAAAGGGTTAGTGGTGTTGAGTGGTTTAAGAAATAAACTAAAACACCCTGAGCCTAAAAACCTCCAGTGTTCAAAGAGATAAAACAGGTAATCTACAAAAAATGAGAAATACATTGACATCTAACAATGCATCTTTAGTACTGGGTGGTACAAGGAAATGCAGCAGTATCTTCGAAGACTTAAGGGAAGGTGCTATTGAAAGTTTGTATATCCAGCCAAACTAGCATTCAAGGATGATGACAGAAAAAACCTTGTTCAGACATGGAAATATTGAGAAATTTCTGCCACCAACAATTGTTTCTGAAAGAATTACAAAGGAATTATTTACAGCAAAAGGAAAACTCCAAGAATGCAGAAGAGATGAAGGGACTGCCAAGTACAGTAATGAGAAACAGTTGGGTTTATTTGTAATATTAAAGAAATAGATATTTCCTATGTAATATAAACAGTTCCAGAGATTTAAAAGAAGGTAAAAATCTTTCCAACTCATATATTAGAATGGCATAATCCAGACACCAATATGCGAGGAAAGTACAAAAATTTAAGCCATCAAACTAATCTCGTTTCTGAAAATGGATGCAAAAAATAAACTTTTAACAAATGTAGTAAAACACATTAAAATTATTAATAATATATTATGATCAAGTAGGATTTATTCCAGGATCATAATTGTTCGATATATGAAAATCTATTCGTGTAATCTGCTTCATTGAAGGATAGATGCTAATAAAAACATCTGATAAAATTCAACGTTCATTCCTAATAACAATTCTTGATAAGCTAAATATAAACAGTTATACTTACAATTTGAAAAAGGCTATTAAAAAGAAGCCAAGAACAGGCATTATACTTAATAGTGAAATACTAGAAATACCTCCTTTAAAGTGAGGACCAAAGCAAAGAGGCCACAATTCTACATTGCTCTAGAGGTGCTGGTCAATGTGATAAGTTGGAAAACAAGTTGTGTAAATTTTGAAAGGGAAAGCAATTTAAGAAAATCCAAGACAGTCAAGTGAAAATCTGGTAAAAGGGCTCAGTAAGGTGGCAGGAGAAGAGAGAAGTTTTCCTATATATCAGTAATAATCAATACAATTAAGCTGGGCATGGTGGCTCACATGTGTAATCCCAGCACTTTGGGAGGCTGAGGTAGGCAGATCACTTTAGGTTAAGGGTTTAAGCACAGCCTGGCCAACATGGCGAAACCCTGCCTCTGCAAAAATACAAAAATTAGCTGGTTGTGGTAGCACGCGCCTGTAGTATCAGCTACTTGGAAGGCTCAGGCAGAAGAATCGCTTGAACCCAAAACATGGAGGTTGCAATGAGCAGAGACTGCCTCACTGCACTCCAGACTGGGCGACAGAGTGAGACTCTGTCTCAAAAAAACATTAATAAAATTAAATGTATAAAAGATCCCATTTATAAAACCAGTAACACAGAAATATGTCTAGGAATAAACAGCAAGAAATATGTGAGATCTACAGAGAAAAAAATCTTACTGAAGGACACAAGAAAGCTTGCATAAAAGTAGAAATATGTCATGTTCCATAGGGCATGCTGATTTCCCCCAAATTAATACATAATTTGAAAGTTAGTCAACATAAATCTAAATTTCATTAAGAGAAGAAATAAAAAAAATGGCCAAGAAAAGAATGGAAAGCGTAGAAGAGTGAAGGAGGACCTGTCCTAAAAAGAGCTATTAAAACAAGCTACCAGTTATGGTCACTAGAAAACTCTGACACTGGAGCAGAAACTAGCAAAAAGATAAAAAGAATACAGAGTCCAGAGAAGGTCCTGGGTGCAGAAGAATCGGTTTGTGAGCTGGTACCTGAATCATTGTGGAAGGGTTGGGATGTTCAATAAATAAGGGACCACTGGAGATCCATTTACATAATAAAATTAGAGCCTTATGTCATTATACATATAATATATATATTCCAGATGGACTAAAGATAAAAACATAAAAGTGCAAATTATAAAAGTGCTAATAGAATATACAATAAACTTTTACAATCTGGAGGGTAGTGAAGGCATTTTTAAGCAAAACATAAAACCTAGAATTTATAAAGAAGGAGTGATGGATTCAACTTCTTTTTTATAAAGAATTAAAATCTTCTGTATGATGAAAAATACCATTAATAAAGTAAAATGAAAAGTTACAGACTGGGAGAAAATATTTGCAACATATGTAATGAAGCATTATTACCTGTAATACATTAAGAAGCGCCTATAAACAAATACAAAAAAGACTAACAACCCAGTAAAAAATGGGTTAACAAGGAATTCATAAAACAGAAATCCATATGACCAATATGCTTTTGAATAGTGCTCAATACTTCATTAGTGTGGTGGAGACTGCTGGGCCTTCCAGATCCCCTTTGGCGATGAAGGACTTACTGCCTTTCTGGGGGATTGTGTGGGCTGAAGAAAACTGCTTTGCCCAAGGCCAAGCACATCCCATAACTGATCAACATGGAGTCTTAAAAGCCAGCTCCCTTCCCTTCAATTTAGCAAGGCTCTGAAGGTTCATCCAGCCCGCTGCTCTGTGGGGTTGGCGGAGGCCTTTTTTGAGACTGCATCCCAGATTCTTCCTTTGCCCAACCTTGGTTTCCTCTCCTTCCTTTTACAGGTGTTAATACCAAGAGCTCTCCCAGAAATGTCCTGCACACTACTGTGTCCTAGAGTTGGCTTCTTGGGGAACCCAACCTGCAACTATTAGAACTAAGGAAACGAAAATTGTAACCAGTGAACGTTTTCCCCTTACCCATCAGGGTTTAGCACAATCTTAAAAGAATGAAAACATACAGTGCAGATGGGTGTGGGAAAATACACTCTCTTAATTATTCTTGGTAAAAGTGTAAACTGGTAGAACCTTTTTGACATATAACTTAGAAGTATCTTTAAACAATAAAAATAAGCATATCTTTTGATCCAGCAATCACATTTCAAGAATTATCGAACAGAAATAGGAAGGTAATTACAGCTTGTTTGTAAAAGAGAGGAAAACACAGGTCAGTAGGTGGTACATCCATACTACCAAATACAAGGTAGTAAGTAAATTAAGTTGTTAAGATGTGCATTTTAAGCTGGGCGCGGTGGCTCATGCCTGTATTCCCAGCACTTTGGGAGGCTGAGGTGGGCAGATCACTTTAGGTTAAGGGTTTAAGCACAGCCTGGCTAACATGGCGAAACCCTGTCTCTACTAAAAATACAAAAATGAGCTGGGCACGGTGGTGTGCGACTGTAGTCTCAGCTAGTCTAGAGGCTGAGTTGGGAGAATCACTTGGACCTGGATGGAGGAGGCCACAGTGAGCCAAGATCACACCACTGCATTCCAGCCTTGGCAACAGAGTAAGACCCTGTCTCGGAAAAAAAAAAAAAAAAAAAAAAAAAAGAAAAACCCTTTTATAAAAAAAAAAAAAAAAAAAAAAAAAAATGTGCATTTTAAAAGTAAATTGCAAAACCACATTGATAAATAACCACTTAGATAAAAAGAACCTCCTGCCCATTTATATATGTAACTGTATATAGCACAAGCCCCTAGCGGATTCTCAACACATGAGTCAAGTGATTACCTAAGAAGGGGAGAATGATGGGGAAGAGGTTCAACGCAGACTTTCATATTTAATCTCTGCACTTCTGTCTAGAGAGCCTATAATAATTGTATTGCTTGTGGAATTAAAACAGCAATTAAAAGAAAAAAGAAATAAATCAGGTGTTTTGACTCTTCTTTTCCCATGTTTCATAGCTTTTTCCTCCTATTTGATCCTGAAATTGTGGTGTTCATGAGTACTGTGGTCTAGTAGAGCCCCCTGCCGGACCCCCATGAGAACCAAGAAAAGATTGGACCTTGTTAGGGACAGCTGCGGGTATTAACATGTGAAACGAAGAGGAAGGAGGCAGGGTTGAGCAGAGGGAGATGAGCTGTGATGCAATCTCAACAGAGGCTTGGCTAACCCCAAGGGGAACTGCGGGCTAGAGCTTATTTGGTAATTCTCTTTTGGCCTTATTTGAAGTGATGGCTGTTTGTATTAATTAAAGAGCCTCAAAATTTGAAGAAGCAATCTTTCAGGAGATGTGAAAGCTGGAGGTTCAAAAGCTGAGGTCTACAAAATCAAGGGCAGGAAGTGATATCTGGGTTGAGGTTTGGGTTTCCAGTGGAGAAGGCTGGGACTGTCTGAGGGGACCACTTGGGAGCATGTCCACTTGCCTGGATTGAATGGCATGGCTTAAGTCCTACCTGACCAATGATCCCACTGAGCTCCCCCTCCAACATCTTCACTTGGCATTCTAGTAATTTGACGTTGCTTAGGGAAGACTGGTATTTATCCCTGTAGAGGCTTAAGCTCCTTTCTAGGGAGGCGATCTTGTCCCCGGCCAAGGCGAGTTGCTCTTGTGCCAAATGGAGCTTCTCCTCTGTGTTCTTGTTGTGATTTCCCATTTCCTCCTCATAGAGAATCACCTGTAGGTGTAGGAATAAATCCATATTGAGCCCATGGAATCATCTAACAAGGAAAGGATGTGGTTGTAAGGCTCCCTGCAGAGAAGTCTTGTATCTAAACCAGAAGACCAGATGAACAGAAGAGAGGCTGCACAGATCTGAACGCTACAGCATGTATCAAGATGTTAATGATTAGAAATAAAAAAGATGGCCATAGTTAGAGGTAAGCTCCCTCAAGGCAGGGACCATATTTATTTCCCATCCTGCTCAGCATGTGGTAGGAACTCAACAGATACTTGCTAGTTGATTAATAGGAATGAATTTGTATAACTCCATTTTTTTTAAAGGGCTTGAAATGCCAGTATTCTTTCTTTCCCAGGCATTCTCTAGAGGTCAAATTTAGAAAATGTAGACTTCCTCCTGCACACAGGACCATGTCAACCAAATTTCCAAGAGACAGGTGGGGACCATGACCCAAAGTTCCTCTGGGATTTGCTCAGTCCTTATTTAGATTTCTTTTCTTCCTCAGCAAGTAGTCAACGAACTGACATATTTATTGAAAGCTCATGAGCATTGTGTTAAGTGCAGAGGAGATATATACATATAGTAGACATATGCTCACCCCTCAAAGAATTTAAAACTTTCACAATCTTGGGGAGATAAGATTTAAAATGAGTAAACAGCTGTAGGTAGTTGAGTGTGCTAAATAGTGTGACTTGAATTTTATGTGTTGAAGGAGTTAACAGCAGAATAGTCATTAAGGAAGGCTTCATATTAGTTCAAATAATCCAACATAGAATGCTGATAGAACACGTTCCATTAGTTGAAGCTAATTATAATTGCTGCTTGTCATTTGAGATTCTTCTTAGGAAAGGATAACTTCATGTAAGGTGTCCACTAAGTAAGAAGAGGAGAGGAATATTTTATATTCAAATATTGTAACTGAAGCTGTCAGTGGCCAGCCCATATCCCCTGGGCGCTTGCTATTTCTTTGCAAGCTAACCCCATTCCCACTGCAAGCTTATTCAACTCTGCCCGAGGGCTTCTCTGACCACAGGAGCCCTTACAGTCAGAGAGGCAAGACAGGGTAGATTAGAAGGTCTTGGGAGTTAATGCCCTCAGGAGAAGCCCTCAACCAATGACTGGGGTGTGTTGGTGGGTTCACTCTGAGGCATGTTCTACACTGTCTCTAAGGGACTGAGCAAGCAGTCTGCTCAATACTGATGTCCTTTATGTGCTTCCTGTTCTTCTTGACTCACTCGCTCATGTGCTTCCAGGAATCATCTCTGGAATTAGTTACTTGTATTTATATCCTTGTCTTAGAGTCTGCTGCGTAGTGAACCCAACCTTAGAGAGAAGTTTGATGAGGCTGTGTGAGACATTGGGGGAACTTGGCAGAATGCTAAAGTGATTTTCTCAATGCTTTCCCGGTTTGGGATCTTAAGTGACTGTTATTTGCCAAGTCCCATATCTACTCTCCTACTCTTCCTTAGTAATAGAACCTTGACTTTATTGGGGGCAGCAATGCACCTCCTAAAACACCACATTTCTTAGGCTTCCTAGAAAGTAGCTGTTGCCATGTGACTAATTCTGGTCAGTAATAGTTAAGTGAAGGTGTTGTGGCTTCTGGAAAGTGTCCTTAAAAGGAGGGGAATGTGTCTTTCCCTTCCACCCTTGTCACCTGGTCCCCTGGCCATTTATCTGGATTATTTGGAACAAGGATGTGGCTGGGCATGGTGGCTCACGCCTTCAATCCTAGCACTTTGGGAGGCTGTGATGGGCAGATCACCCGAAGTCAGGAGTTGAAGACCATCCTGGCTAACATGGTAAAACCCCATTTCTACTAAAAATACAAAAATTAGCTTGGTGTGCTGGCATGTGCCTGTAATCCCAGCTACTCAGGAGGCTGAGACGGGAGAATCACTTGAACTCGGGAGGCAGAGGTTGCAGTGAGCTGAGGTTGCGCCACTACACCCCAGCCTGGGCAACAGAGTGAGACTTTGTTTCAAAAGAAAGGATGTGATGGTTGGAGGTCCAGCAGGCACCTCCAAGGAGACTTGGAGAATGGAAGCCTTGAGCTGATGATGGTGGAACCCAAGGATAGATCCTTAGGTATCTGATGACACATGCAGTTGCCATGACAGCAACAGACCACCTGTCTTTGACCTTTTTACATATGACATAGAAATAAAGTATCTTATTTATTTCCTGTTACATGCAGCTAAATAGAATCCCAACTCGTTCAAGGTTGCTTTATCCAGGTTGGACCTTTTGTTTCAGTTGTCGTGAACCAGTAAGTTTTAACACAGCTCTGCGCTATCTTTTTAAAAAACTATGTTTGTACTCACAGGTTTAGTCACAGATTATATTTGTAGGATTAGGACAACCTTTCTCTGTTCCTCCCACTCTCAGTTCTTTTCAGCAAATTTTCACTAGATCATATTTCCTTTTTAAAAAGTCGATGGTCTTTAAGGTCCCTCCTGAAGTCCTTGAAGTTAGTCCTTAAGCAACAGCACCATCCAAAACACTCCTTGAATTTTTTTTTTCTTCTCTGTCCTTCCAAGAGGAACCTAACTCCTTGCAATTTTATCTTTAAATCTAAAGAAAGAAAATGCCAAGGGAAACCCCAGGATGGAAGAGTGTGCCTGGCCCATCACTTAGAACCCATGGTTTATTGTACTGCTCAAGTGGTTTCAGTGCTGCAGCTTTGGGTCCTTGGAATTTACTTGGGATTCTACAGAGATGCTACTCTTTGGCTTAGAAAATACCACCCTGGAACATGAAAGGGAATTAATATCCTAAATATACTTAAGTGAAATCTATATGATCTAAAACCTCAGTCTGAAAAAATTATCTAGTACTCTCAATGACTGACCTGCATTCAATGTCTGGTTATGTTACCTACTGTGTAGGTGCCAGGAATTTATATGTTATCAAGACCTTATTTTTCTAAAAATGGTGGATTTAATGTATCTTATACCTCTTTTGTAACCCTCAGAGACCTACAGTCTTTTGCATTTAAATTGCAATGGTAATAGGATGGAGAAGATGGACTTACACACACACACACACACACACACACACGCACGCCTGCATATACACTCCACATATTCCACATGCATGAATACTGTAGCTCTCACCCAGTTATGCCATTCAGTTTAGTTTCCTTCTGCTCAGCTTCAAAAAGATCAAGAATTAAAGAAGGAAGCTTTATAAAACCTGCTCGAGAAGTTGCAAAGCTCTCCTAAGTCCAGCATCTGCTTTCTAGTGGGCTTGGTCTGATTTCTGCAGGTACCTGAGAATGTGGGGTATTTCCATGGTTAATCTGTCTATACCTCATCTTCTTTCAGTTTGCAGTGATGGTGCAGAAGAACCAGGTCGGAAGTCTGCTTCTCTAGGATGGACTGATACTGCAGGAGAGAACAGTAAGAAGTCTGCAACTCCTCTGTGCGAAACTCCAGTTCTTGTTGAAGGGCCAGCAGTTTTTTCTTCAGTTGCTGGAGTTGTCTCAGATGACACTGTTTACTGGACCCAAACTCCATCTCTGACTCCTCGAATGCTAATGCCTGTGCTTGCTTCTTGTTCTACAATAGACACAGGATACACAGAAAAGGATTTAGATTATAACTGAGGATTTATTCATTCCTGGATTTTTTCATTTGTTCAATCTTTCACATCCATCTATCCATCTTTTTATCTACAGAAAACTTATTAAACATTTCACTCTATTCACAAGGAAATGTATCACTTAGCATTCCCACTCTGTAAGAATAATTCAATAGAAGAAAAATAATGGTTCTTATCCATCGAAATCTTATTATTTAGGTCAGAAGAAAAAACATATACATAAAGGACCTAGGGAGATATGTGTAATAATATGCTGATGTGTTGCCTTCCTATATAAAGATAACACAAGTGACTTGGGAGGAAATGGACTTCTGGCCACAGTTCTTGGACTAAAATTGGCATTAAAAATCCCCGGGTAAAGGAGCATTGCAAGGAGTCAAGAGTGAATTATTGGAATGAAATGCTGGAAAATGAGAGGCAGAGATATTGTTCAGGTACATCTGGGCACTGACTCTGTCTCCTTCTCCTGAAGGAAGATGTGACTTTGCAGATGCTACTCTGTGTGTGTGTGTGTGTGTGTGTGTGTGTGTGGTGTGAACTCTTCCTGCTAATTCATAATTTACCTGAAATGCTGCTTGTCTCATCCTACATTTTCATTCCTTTATTCATTAATTCATTCATTAGACACAGACTAGGCACCTATGTTGTGCCAGGTATTCTGCTGGTAGGACACATCCCTGAGTTGATGATGCATCTATATGTTCTGTATTTTCCATCATCCCTTACGGCAGTGACATGTGAGGGAAAGGTAGATAAAGAGGTAGCCTGTAGGCAGTCCTTAGTGTCCAACCTTGCTTATTCTCCTCCTACTCATTCTTTAAGATTCTGTTTAAATCCTGCTGTCCTTCCTGTTTTTTCCCTTCAAAGCTATCTTTGCTCCAATACCACAGATTTTACTAGCATGTCCTTAATGTGGTATTCTATATTTTGTCTGTAACTATTTCTGTGCATTTTAACTTCTAATTAGATTATAAACTCCTGGAGGGCAGGGTCATGTCTGCTCTTCTGGGGCCTAGATTAGAGATTCATACATACCTATGTATTGAATGAAAGAAATGAAAATAGAGTCCAAGTAATCTCATTGGCTCCCAAGGCTTTGAGCCTGTGGCCTTGGCCTCATTAACAGAGTCCTTCTAATGCAATGGCTTTCAAATTTTTAAATTAACTTTTAAAAAACAGATTTATTGAGGTATACTTTATATATCATGAAATGCAACCATTGTTAAGTGTGCAATTCAATGACTTGTAATAAACTTATAGAATTGTGTGACCATCATTACAATCCAGTTTTAGAACATCTCTATCATCCCCCAGAATTTCCTCATGCCCATTTTCAGTCACTCCTTCTCTTTCCCCCAGCTCTAGGCAACCACAAATCTGCTTCCTGCCTCTATGGATTTTCTGCCTTTTTTAGACGTTTCACTTACGGATCTGTTTAATATATAATTTTTTGGCTTCTTTAACTTAGCTTTTTTTTTTTTAATTTGAAGATAGAGTTTTCCTCTGTCACCCAGGCTGGAGTGTACTGGTGCAATCTTGGCTCACTGCAACCTCCACCTCCCTGGTTCAAGTGATTCTCATACATCAGCCTCCCTACTAGCTGGGATTACATGTGAGCACCACCACACCCAGCTAATTTTTGTATTTTTAGTAGAGATGGGGTTTTGCCATGCTGGCCAGGCTGGTCTCCAGCTCATGGGATCTGCCTGCCTTGACCTCTCAAAGTGCTGGGATTGCAGGTGTGAGCCACTGTGTCCAGCTGCATAATGTTTTAGAGGCTCATCCAGGTTGCAGCAAGAATCAGTATCTGATTCCTTTTCATTGCTGAACAGTATTCTGTTGTATAAATATACCACATTAGGTTTATCTGTTCACCAGTTGATGGATATTTGGGTTGTTTCAGTTTTTGGCTATTATGAATACTGCTGCTGTGAACATTAACCATATACTAGCCTTTGTGTGGGTATATTTTCATTTAGTTAATGTGCTCAGCAAATATTGTGGTACAACTACTACATCAAGCACTACACTAGCTAAATAGGGATATAACAGTGTAAGAAACAGACAAAATCCCCAGCTTTGTGGAGTTCACATCTAATATGTGGAGAGAGAAAACTAAGCAAGTATATATACATAGTGTATTAGAAGGTCAAAATGCAATCGGTGAGAGTGAAACAGGGGAGGAGGATGCGGAATGCCAGGATGGAGGAGGTTATATTTTTGAATTAAATGTTTGCATGGAGGACCAAAGTGTGAAGCTGACATTTAAACCAAAACTTGGAGGCAAAAGAAGGCATCTGGAATGCTCCAGGGACAGAGAGCCCTGGAGGTGGAAGCATACCTGGTGGTATTTGAGGAGCCCCAGGGGTTGCAGCCACTTTTTTTTCTGGCTGGAGCAGAGAAAGTAAGGGGGAAAGGTGTGCCTGATGGAGTCAGATAGGAAAAGGAGGTGAGCTCTTTAGGATCATATAGCCATTCTCGAGACTTTAACTTCTTTTGGGGAGATGAAAGACCATTGGAAGGTACTGAGCAGAGGAGCAAATGATCTCCCTGAGCTTTTACAAAGGACACACTCACTGTTTATTGGAAATCAGCTCTAGGCCGGCAAAGACAGAAGCAGGGGGACCAGACAGGAGGCTACTTCAAAAACCCAGACAACAAAGGATGATGGCGTGGACCAAGATGGTAGCAATGGAGGGTAAGAGAAGTTGTTGGGTTCTAGATGTATCTTGAAATGACAGGCCACAGGATTTGCTGCCGGGTTACAGGTTGGATTGTGGGACATGATAGTCATCCATAACAGATGATACCAGGGTTTTGGTTTGAATAACTGGAGAGATGGATTTTAATGAGATTAATTCAGTAAGAGCTGGGACCTGAAAGACAGAAAATCTCTATTGACAGTGGTGGTGGCAGCACAGAGAAGGTAAAGGAGGCTCAGTCCAGTGCAGAGCCAGAAAGATGATAGTTGATTGTGTCAGTACAATCTGAATGACCCTTTCCAGGAAAGTGTCTCATCCTAAGTGCCTCAGAATTGAGAAGACAGACAGAGAAAATGGACCCACTATGGTCACCAGGCAAAAGAAATTCTAGGCAAAGACACACTGAACTCTTGACCTGAATATCCAGTGTATGTCACTGGAGGAAAGTTGATGAGACTTCTTTTCTAAGCTGAGCAAAGCTAAATTTTGTATTTACTTTGTGTAGCTATAATTGCCAGCATTTATATTCAATGTTGTTGTTAAACGCTCTCAATTTTTTCAAGATAAGAATATTGCTATTCTCACAACTCATCTGTGAATGATGTCTGGAGAGAAGGGAGTTGGGAGTAGTGTGTGTGGTGTGTACATGAACGTATGTGTATGTGCATATTCATAGATAGAGGGGCTTCTGAAGAGCCTGAGTCCTCCTGCTTACATAGTAAGTTAGGAGGGTGGGGAGCTACTTGGAAAGAAACATGATCACAAATAAGTACTTAACATGGACAGAATTAATGCAAAGGGGTGAACATCCTGGAGTAGGGTTAATTCAGAAGGGCTTATTTTAGTATATACCCAATAAAATGCTTATCAGGCCAGGCATGGTGGCTCATCCCTATAATCCCAGCACTTTGGGAGGCCAAAGTGGGAGGATGGCTTGAGATGAGGAGTTCAAGACCAGCCTTGGCAACATAGCAAGACCACTATCTCTACAAAAAATAAGAAAATTGGCTGGGCACAGTGGCTCACGCCTGCAATCCCATCACTTTCAGAGACCAAGGTGGGTGGATCATGAGGTCAAAAGATTGAGACCATCCTGGCCAACATAGTGAAACACTGTTTCTACTAAAAATACAAAAATTGGCTGGGCTTGGTGGTGTGCACCTGTAGTTCCAGCTACTCGGAAGGCTGAGGCAGGAGAATCATTTGAACCCAGCAGGTGCAGGTTGCAGTGAGCTGAGATGGCGCCACTGCACTCTAGCCTGGGTAACAGAGTGACACTCTGTCAAAAAAAAAAAAAAAAAAAAAAATAAACAAAAAAAACAAAAAAAAAGCAAGGCACCTGGAATCCCAGCTACTTGGGAGGCTGAAGCAGGAGAATCACTTGAACCCAGGGGGCAGAGGTTGCAGTGAGCCAGGATCACACCATTGCATTCCAGCCTGGGCAACAAGAGTGACACTCTGTCAAAAAAAAAAAAAAAAAAAAAAAAAAAAATTAGCCATGCTTGTAGTCCCAGCTACTTGGGAGGCTGAGGTGAGAGTATCACTTGAGCCCTGGAGTTTGAGGATGCAGTGAGCTGTGATCACACCACTGCGCTCCATCCTGGGCAACAGAGCAAGACACTGTCTTTAAAAAAAAAAAAAAAAAAAACCTTATCAGATTTTGCCATAATCCTTTTTCTTTGGCTTTGTAAGCACCTGTCCACTGCTGAGTGTGTATGACCCAGCTGAAAACTAACTGTGGTCTCCTGTTGCATATTCATTCTTTGCTTCCCTTTCCTTCCGTGTCCCTATTTTTTCTTCATTGCCCAGAATGAGAGAAGTGCCCTTCTTTGAAAAGAAGTCAAACTCTCTCTCCCTTTAGGGCTTCCCCTCTAGTACCTGGTACCCCCATCTATACTTAGGTATGTTTAGAATTGCTCTTTGGCCTTAAAGCTTCCTGTGGGAAATAAATGCCTTTTCCTAAATGACGTGTATAAAGCTTAGCAGCCTGGCAGGGATACTGTTGAAATGTCAATGCTTTATCTTCCCCAGAGGTCATATTGAATCTTCTGGGTTTAATTTTGGTCTGAGGCAACATGATGGGCTAGCCAGATGATGAGAATTTATGCATCTCTTCCAGTACAGGACAAATATAGCACCTGACCTAATTTGCCTGGTTATAAAGATCCAAGGACTGCTTATATCTGCAGAGAAACTAGAATTCTTTGGATAGGAATTTTAAACATTTGTACACTATAGGTATCAATGGGTTTAGA